CCCCCCCCCCTCCAAATCTGAAGCGTGGATAACCATGGTTGGCAAAACCGTAGTTAGCGAGGAAAACCTGCAATAAAAATCCTAGCCTCTTTTCTCATTTAAAGCCATTGAAAACAAGGTTAAAAAAGTTAAAGAGTGAATATTTTTATTAAGCAGGTCATTTACCTGTATTAACAATATTCCTTGTTTATTTCTAAGACTGGAGTGGAGGATCCAAATTTTGCTTTTGGATTATTAATGGAACTAACCAGAGCATTCCTCGCTTATGCTGATAATGTCCGTGCTCAAGATTCTGCAGCGTATGCCATTCAGGTAAGGGAATATGTTAGTTGCATCATCTTTTTTTTTTCATTACTGAATTATTTCTTTGTTACACTGAAGAGCAGAATCTGTATAATATAAGTATTATAGCATTTATGTATCTGTGCACACAGACACCTACATAAAATAGTCCTTTTAGGATATTTCTGATCCTTTAGAATATTTCACTTACTAAGGTACATAGAAGTAGATTGGGAAAAGAAGCTTGGGGTGTTGTAGGAATTGGGACTGGCTAGACAGATCTTGGGTCTGGGAGCTAAGAAGGGAAATAGAGGAAAACATGCAGGCAAGAGTTAGGCTGGGGGTAGAAATCAGTTTTGGAGCTTAGTGAAGGTGGGACTTGGACTGGGAAACAGGAAGGTGGGAGAAGATATGGTTGATAAGGAGCAAGAATATGGAGGGAGAACTAGGAGTAGCTGGAAAAAAGAATATTTCTGAATGAAAATCCTGTGTATGGCAGATCTGTTTTTGGTGTCAGATGTAATGTATTCTTGAGGTTTTTTTATGACTTTTCAAATTCAAGGTCAAGTTACCACTATTTAAAAATCACAGACTTGATCTTGTAAACCTTTTAGGAGGAAAACATACCTTCTTCTTATTTTGTTACTTATAACAATATGATTCAAATGGAGAGTGATCTCTTAACTATCTTTTGCTTCAGAATTTAGTGGAGAGAGAAGTGAAGAGCATGATAATTTCTAAACCATTTGTTCTAACATGAAGGTTTCTCTTGTCCTTAACAAATCTGATCTTTGACCTCTGGTAAATACCAGTAGTACTTTGTTGCTGACTTTGTTAACCAAGTGTGCCTGGTATTACTTCCATGCTGTTGAGCTTTCCTCCAGATTGTGTTCTTTTAAAAACACAGAACTAATTTAAAATAGCTAGTTGTGAACCTGTTCTCACAGTGCTAGCATTTGTAATATTTTTAGACTGCTTGTTTCCAAACAAATGCACAGAGGTTTTCTTTTATGGTCTATTTGCGGTGTGACTCAGTCTCAGACCTGTGCAATTTCAGAATATGGGCTAGAAAGAATTTTTCTTGATCTGTTTGCTCTCATAGGTCTATGTAGTAGTTAATGTATTTCTGTTTAAAACAAACAGACAAGCAAAAAAAAAAAAGACTTTCACTGGCAGGGAGCTGAAGTTGTTCAAATATACTGCTGCACCCTACTTAAGGATTTTGAAAAAGATAAGAAAGTTCTTGAAGTATTTGGATCTACTGCAGTTCTATTATGCTCATGATCTTTCATCCTATCAGTAGAGTAATACTTTCTATCAGTATTAATTTTCAGGTCAGTGATACAGTCCCCTTCAGTGCTAGTGTGTTCATAGAAATGAAAATCATACTAACATGGATGTTAAGGATTTAATGTGGCACAGGACTCTGTGGAGGTCCTCTGCACTGGGGTTGTCAGTTTTAGTTTTCTTTGTCATTGGTTGTGACCATTATGAATAGGTGAATTAGTCTTTTACAATACTAGCTTTTTAACATGTAGCATGGGTTTTTTTTAGGAATTGTTATCCATCTATGAGTGTAGAGAAACAAAAATTGATTGCTCAGGTTCCAGGCTTTGGAGGAGATTTCCTGAGAACGTTCAGGAAATATTGGAACCTCACCTAAACACACGGTATGTGATAGTTTTTAAATAAAATTTCTTTGACAAAGAACTCTAAAATATTTGTATCTGGATTAGCAATAATTAAGCTTATATTTTGTGCATAATACTCTCAAATGGGGTATTACTGGGTAGATTGCAGTGCTACAGAAAAGCATCTGAGGTGTCATACTAGATTGAAAGTTGTACGTGTGTCAGAAGTATATTATTGAAAAAAATGCCTAATAGCATATGGAATGTATTAACAAGAGTGTCATATGAAAGTAAAAGAAAGCAACGTTTCCACTCTGTTCAGCGCTGGTGAGGACTTGCCTATAATAACATATCCTGTTTTGGATACCACATTTTAAGGAAGACATTGACAAATTGGGAAAAATCCAGAAAAGAGCCCCCATCTTTGTGTTTTTATATCTTTTATTTTTTCAGCCAGTCCCTATTAATTGGGAAATTTTATGAAATTGTATGACTTTGCCAGACTAACTTAAACAGCAGAAGGGACATGCGTACAAATTCTTGCAATGCATATTCCATGGTATTTTATATGAAGTGCAACAAGAAATAAAAATGGCATCTGCTTCATATACATACACACGCTACACTATATATAAAATAGACTGCACTGCATATAAATATGCATAAATATACGTACGCTGTTTATATTATGTGCGTATTCTGTGGACTCTGTCTCTCTCTTTATGATAAAACCTTTAGGGAATTCCAGAAGTTCAAGTAGGACTGCAGTCGGAATACTACTTGGTTAATTGCAGAAGGTGTCTTTTTCTTTTGTGTAAGGAAACAATACCTGTTTACACTATTTGCATTTTAAATTGCAGATACAAGAGTTATCAGAAAGCAGTAAACTGGTCTAAGATGAAGAAACCAATTTACTTAAGTAAATTAGGTAACAACTTTGCAGAATGGTCGGCAACTTGGGCAGGTTATCTTATAACAAAGGTAAGAACAATTAATGTTTTGTATATATCTTAAAAACAAACTGGGGAGCTGCATGCTACCATATGTGATGAATGTAGAGTTTCAGAGTTCATTACATTCTCCCTGTTTAAAGAAATGAATGAAAAATCTAAAAGGAATAAAGCTCACTTTGGGATGGAAACAGACATCACCCTTGTGTCATTGAATTAAACTAAATTTGTGGCCATGAAGTAGATCCTATCAACTTGTGCTGCTATTTAGTAGCAAACATCTGCTTGTTTTAAAAAGTGAGAGAGTGGGCAGACTGGAGCTGCCTCCGCTCTCCTCAGCTTCCCTGGACAGGCACTCCCAAGTCTTAAGGGGCGTGATTCTGCCTGCCCTTGGAAGTCTCGTGCAGGATCGGGTCTCTTGAGCCCTGGGAATACCTGCCCAGCTTTCTCTCTCTTACAAAGACATGTTCATTAGACACTCTGATGCTGTCCCAGAGCTGGAAACTGCACTGGAGCCAGTTTGACAGTTGGGACCCCAGCACATCACCAGAGTCAGCTTTCCCTGCTTACGAAGGTGTGTCATACAGTCATAGAAATTTAGGGTTGGAAGGGACCTCAGGAGGTCATTTAGTCCAACCTCCTGTTTAAAGCAGGACCCATCCCCAGCTAGATCATCCCAGCCAAGGCTTTGTCTAGCTTAGTTTTAAAAACCTTCAAGAATGGATAGTCCACAGCCTCTCTGGGTAACCTGTTCCAGTGTTTTACTACTGTCCTAGTGAGAAAATTCTTCCTATTATCTAACCTAAATTTCCCTTGCTGCAACTTGAGATCCTTGCTTCTTGTTCTGTCATCTGTCACCACTGAAAATAGTCTAGATTCATCCTCTTTCTGAACCCCACTTCAGGTAGTTGAAGGCTGCTATTAAATCCCCTCTAGACTAAGTAAGACCAGTTCCCTCAGCCTTGTCTCATAAATCATGTGCCCCAACCTCCAAGTCATTTTTGTTGCGCTCTGCTGGATTCTCTCCAGTTTGTCCACATCCTTTCTGTAGTGGGGTTGCCAAAACTGAACACATTGCTCCAGATGTGGCTTCGCCAGTACTGAATAGAAGGGAATAATTGCTTCCTTTAACCTGGTAGCAACACACCTACCAATGCAGCCCAGTATTCTGTTCGTCTTCTTGGCAACAAGGGCCCACTGTAGACTCATATTCAGCTTACTGTCTGCTGTAATCCTCGGTCATTTTCTGCAGAGCTGCTGCCCAGTCAGTCAGCCCCCAGCCTGTACCGGTGCATGGGGTTGTTCTATCCTAAGTGAAGGACTATGCACTTGTCCTTATTGAACCTCATGAGATTTCTTTTGGTCCAATCCTCCAATTTGTGTAGATCACTCTGAATCCTAACTCCACCCTCCAGTGTATCTACTACTCCCACCAGCTTGGTGTCATCTGCAAACTCGCTGAGGGTGCACTCTATGCTGTTTGTCAGGTTGTTGATGAAGATATTGAACAAAACTGGTCCTAGGACTGACCTCTGGGGCGCTCAACTTGATACTGGCTGCCAACCAGACAATGAGTCATTGATTCTGCCCTCTGAGCACAATGCTCTAGCCAGCTTTCTGTCCACTTTACAGTCCTCTCATCCAGCCCATACTTCCTTAGTTTGCCTGCAAGAATGTTGTGGGAGACCATATCAAAAACCTTGCTAAAATCAAGTTATACCACATGCACTGGTCTCCCCGCATCCACAGAGCCAGTCATCTCATCAAAGAAGGCAGTCGGGTTGGTTGGGCATGACTTGCCCCTGGTGAATCCATGCTGACTGTTCCTAATCACTGTCTTCTCCTCCAAGTGCTTAGAAATGGTTTCCTTGAGGATCTGCTCCGTGATTTTTTCTGGGAACTGAGGTGGGGCTGACTTGTCTGTTGTTCCGTGGATCCTCCTTTTTCTCTTTCTTACATATGGGCACTATATTTGCCCTTTTCCAATCATCCAGGACCTCTCCCGATTGCCATGAGTTTTTAAAGATGATGGCCAGCGGCTCTGCAATCACATCAGACAGTTCCTTCAGCACCTTTGGGTGCATCCCATCCGGCCCCATGGACTTGTATATGTCCAACTTTTCTAAATAGTCCCTAACCTGTTCTTTTACCACTGTTGGCTGCTCACCTCCTCCGCAAACTATTCTTCCATGTGCAGTAGTCTGGGAGCTCACCTCACCTGTGAAGACTGAGGTGAAAAAGGCATTGAGTACTTCATCCTTTTCTGCATGTCACTAGGTTGCTGTGGCAGAAGGCCACCTTTGTTTCTCCCCCAAAACACTGCTCTGTGACAATTTGATTAGGATGGGCCCAGCAGAGGAGACACACCTTTACCCTGTCTCTTTAGGTAACCTGAGCTGGACACATTCCTGAGGGAGGGGGGAAACCTGCTCCCTCTGCCTACGGGACTAGTATCACATACCTGGGTGAGGGGCTTCCTCCCTGGTGGGCTAGAGACTGCCAGTCTGCCCGGCAACTAGTGGTGTATTTCAAATTGGTTGGCTCACAGCTAACAGGTGCTGGCCTCCATTGGACCAGGTAAATGAGGTCACAAGGGCTATATAAGTTAAGGACTGCCCAGGAGGTGGGTGCAGCAGCCATGAGGGAGACTCAGAGACAGAGAAGAGCTATACCATCTGAAGCTTGCTCTCTCTCTCTCTCAAAACTCATGATCAAGGAACTGCCTGCCTCCAGAGGGAATCTCCAACTGCCTCTGGATGATACTTGTTGTGAGTAAGCTACCTGAGATCTAACTAGATATATAGCTTGCAGTAACTCAGATGCGCGATCAAAGGCTACCCAGCCAGGGGAGTTTGCTCTATGGGATTTCTCTGTTATTGCTCTACCCTGTACCCTATTCTAACCCTACCCTCTGTAACCAATAAAGTTCTCCTTTGTACCTAGTGTGGGAGACTTATTGGGAGTGGGTCTAGATTATGCCTTGGGGTCCCCTTGGTTCGGCTGACTAAGGGTGTGCAGAGCCAGAATCAGTCCAGAGCCCTGGGTGGTGGCAGGGGAACCCCCAGGCTAGCGGGTGTGCTCCAGGAAGGGGGTTGGCCAGATGTGAGGTGCCCCCAGGGAGGCACTCGGAGCCTGGAAGGTGGTCGGGTGCAGTGGGGTGGGTGGCTCAACGCAGGAGCGCCCCCTGCTGGGCCACCACAGCCTCCCCAATTCAGTAAGGAAGTCACACTTTCCTTGATTTTCCTCTTGTTACTGACATACTTGTAGAAACCCATCTTGTTACCCTTCATGCCCCTTGCTAGCTGCAACTCCAGTTACACTTTGGCCTTCCTAATTTCATCCCTGCATGCCTGAGCAGTATTCTTATACTCCTCCCTAGTCTAGTCATCTGTCCAAGCTTCTACTTCTTATATGCTTCCTTTTTGTGTTTAAGCTCACCATAGAGTTCTCTGTTAAGCCAAGCTGGTCACCTGCCATATTTGCTATTCTTCCTGCACATCCGGATAGTTTGTTCCTGTGCCCTCTGTAAGGTTTCTTTAAAATACAACCAGCTCTCCTGGACTCCTTGCCCCCTCAGACTGGCCTCCCCAGGGATCCTGCTCATTAGTTCCCTAAGGGAGTCAAAGTCTGCTTTCTCAAATATATAGGGTCTTTATTCTGCTGCTCTCTTTTCTTCCTTTACAAGAAGAAAGAGCAGCAGTACAACTCTCAGGATCCTTTTGTCAGGATACTGAACTTGATCATCTTGTGGTCACTGTTGCCCAAGTTGTCATCCTCTTCTACATCCCCCACCAACTCTTCCCTGTTTGTGAGTAGCAGGTTGAAAAGAGCATGGCCCCTAGTTGGTCTCTCCAACACTTGCACTAGAAAGTTGTCACCAACACTCTCCAAAAACTTCATGGATTGCTTATTCACTGCTGTATTGCCCTCTCAGGACATGTCAGGGTGATTGAAATCCCTCATGAGAACCAGTGCCTGTGATCTGGAAACTTTCACTAGTTTTCTGAAGACAGTTTTAATTCCATAGGATAGGGCTGACAAAGTTCTCTCAGTTCCATTGATTGCAAAGAGAAGATTCTGGTGCTCAGAACATTGAGGAATTTTTAGTAGAGGCTTGATTAGCAACATTAATAATAACAACCAGAATTACTATCAACATCTTTATCACCAAGGCCTACAAATCTGTAGTGTTGTTTTTTATTAGAGCTGTTCCTTGTTAGAAAGGCACCTTAGTACAACTGTAGTCAATATTGCATAACAGTCAAAGACTTGGTAAGGACCTCAAACACCTTTCTGTAGTGTTTAGACAATTGGAAATTGAAAATACTGTGACAGGTGTTTCTGCAACAAGATATTAAATCTAAAATCATGTTATCAGGAATCTAGGGAAGGAAATTCCTCATTTTTTTCATATCCCTGTAGTCACAGAAACCCATTAGCTGTGTTGCTCTCATTTCCCCATTCCCCCATGTTGATATGCATAAGTGATGCATTCAGAATGTCATTGTTAAATGAGCCACTAAAGCGGGAGCCCCTGTAACTTGGTAGCTGCATTAGATTTTTCTAGTTTCTGATGAAGAAATAAAAACAAGTTTACAATTCCTTTCCCTCCTGGTAAGTGGAAAGATGGGAGTTTCTCCTTGAGGCTGCTGGAGGAAAGGAAGTTAGAATCTTAACTCTCTATACAGTCTCTGTGGTGAAAAATCTGCAATATATGCTTATACTGTTGTGTCCAGCTTGGCAATGTATGTTCCCCAAGTTTTATGTGCATGGTGGTAACTCCTCTCTTCCTGATGCAGGTCTACATCTCTAATGTACCATTTGTGGATCATCAGATAAATTGGATTGGGCATAATTGATCTTCATTAATAATAAAAAAAAGATTATATTGAAATTTTGCTTGTCTGACGCCTTAAAAAATCATGCCAGTCACATTTTCTTTATCTATCAAAATTAGATTTTTCTTGAAAAATACCATATTTGTTATAGGTACAACACGAGCTTGCCAGCAAAGTCTTCAACTGCTGCAGTATCATGATGAAAAATGACTTCAAAGTGACAATCTGTCTTCTTCCACACATTCTTGTTTATGTTTTACTGGGATGCAGTCAGGAGGATCAGCAAGAGGTAAGATGGACCTATCATAGTCATAAAGAAATGAGACTGGATGGGACTTTGAGAGATCATCTAGATTAACAACTCCCCATCTGAGGCAAGTTAATCGCTATAATCACATTCATTTTTCACAAAAATTAAAATTGAGGAATCTCAGCACAATATTTGAAGAGCTCAGTATACATTTTAGGTATTCAACACTAGTCTTCATTAATAACATCAATTTCCAGGAAGGTTTTTTTGTAAATCTTAGTAGTTCCTCTATGAATCCCAGTTGTACAGCAGCAACACCGGGAGCTAGAGTGTTAGAGGGAGAACATGGATGTGCCACACCTTGCTCAGGGATAAATTGAACTGAGGCATCAGCAGACTCTTGATTCATAACTACCCCGCTTTGGCTTTCACCTGCACTTTAGGGCTCAGCCTTTTAGAGGGGCAGGCTGGACGCTTACAAACTGGCTGCACTGTGGGCCACCACTCCCCTCTCCACTGCACTGCCAGAAGGAAGTGACTGGCAATGGCAGAGGGAGGGGAAGGAGGCAGAGAAGGAGAGCTGCAGAGATAGCAGGGCAGGGAATGGGATGTACCAGGCCAAGCTGTTTGCTGCTGGTCTCCTGTGCTGCTGGCTGGATCTAGTCACTTTGAAATCTAGATCCAGACCATAGGACATAGGTTGAGCACAACTGCTTTTGGGGAAAAGCTGCTTGATTTAATACCCCTAGTTAGCAGTTCATAGTGCCGTGTACTTTTGTAAGTCAACCTCTGCACTTGGTAATAGGAGCCTGCAGCCTGCATTCCAGAAAGGTGGATGTGGGTAGGTGGGTGTGTGGTTTTCTGAGAGAAACCAGGAAAGAGTGTAGACTTTCTTCAGATTTCTCTTTTGAATATAACTGTACATTAATCATTCTTCTCCTGTTTCTAATTCTGTAGATAAAATGTGTTTGCTTGTGTGTCCTTGCTGTGGGGAGTTTCAATATATAAATTATAGATACAGTTATAATGCCTAATATTTCTAGTTTAACCTTTGTTTCTTCTGCTGTCCTGTAACAGGTTGCAGCCTGTATGATGACACTAAAAATGTCTGCCTTTTTTATATTAACTTTTGGGTAGGTTTATGCAGAGATCATGGCTGTTCTCAAACATGATGACCTCTGTAACAGAAGACTCCAGGATAGTGCCTTGGATCTGAGTCAACTGAGCACCCAAACAGTGTTCTCCATGCTTGATCACCTGACACAATGGGCTAGACATAAGTTCCAAATGCTTATTGCTGAGAAAACTACTAGCAAGTCAAGCAGAGATAAGGGAGATGTGAAATGTTAGTGATGCTAATTAACATTGCATGTGAACTGGAATTAGTATTCTTCAAATAAGCGTATAGGCTGTTTGCAGATGTTAAAAAAAACGCACTTTACCGGAAGCAGCAGTGTGTTACTTTGACTTGGCTCTGCAGCATCTGTATAGATTGGGCGCTTCAGTGGAGCTTTCTGGCACTGTTCTCTGAATCCAAGTCAATCAGCTATTAGATAAAAATGCAAAAGAAGCCCCACTAAAGCACCAGATTTAGACAGACATTGAACAAGCTGGGTCCAGCTAATGCGTTGCCTCTTTTGGGCTTGCGCTAGGCTCAGTGTGGGAGTGTGCTGAGTTTAAAAGAAAGCACCGTTTTGGAGTTGTTGGGTTTTTTTAATGTCTGCAAGCAGCCATAGGAATGTCCCTTAAATAAGAACTACGTAAGAATGAAACATTACTGCTGAGATGATGATAGGATCTTTTTTTTTATTTCTTACCATAATATTGGTAAATTGTTGTAACATTATCCTCTGAATTGAAGTATATAGTGTCAAAGTAAAACATGATGTAATGCTTTTCTTGCCTACATTTTATTTTTGGAAATCTGTAAAACTAAGTTGGTATACATGCTGCCTAGAAAAGCTTAGGAGCGCGGAACTAAAGACATTTCTAAGTAATCATAGTTACGCTAAAGGAGGCATATTCTCAATATAGCACATCATAAAATTGTAATAAGGGATAAACTGAACTTTTGATGTTTAAGATAACTTGAAGTTAAACTTAGATAACAAACTTTTTAAACTATTTCATTCCACAGCGTCAAGTGAGAACTATGGAGAATATCAAAATGTGACTCGTTTTCTAGACCTCATACCTCAGGATACATTGGCTGTAGCTTCCTTTCGTTCTAAGGCATACACAAGAGCTGTGATGCACTTTGAATCTTTCATCACAGAAAAGAAACAAAATATCCAGGAGCATCTTGGGTTTCTACAGGTTTTTAAATATATTTTTTTAAGTTTTTATTTTTGATAAGGGTGTAAGTACACCTCTTTGAGATGCTGCTTTGTTGAAGGAGGGGTTTTTTTTGACTGCAGGGCGTTCTCTTTAGTTATAAGGAAAAAAGACATTTAAAATGAGACTCTAATAACATTTTACAGTAAAAGCTGCGCTATCTGGCACCTTACAAGCCAGCATGCTGTATTAACCGGTATGCCAGCTTATAAGGGAAAAGCAAAACCAGAAGTGCCCACCATGGCAGTTCCAGTTTCACCGAGCCCCCACGGCCTGGGGCAAAGGGGCCTGGGGCAAAGGAGCCTGTGCTGCCAAGCCCCCACGGCCCGGGGCATAGCAGCTTGCATGGGGCCCCCCTCCTGTCCCTTGGGGCTCGCGGGAGGGGCAGCGATGCAGCAGGAGAGGCAGGGGCCTGAGCCGGCAAAGACGGTGTTCGGGCCACTCAGTTAACCAGCATATTTTGTTGTCTGGCACCCCCCATTCCCCGTAGGTGCCGGATAACAAAGCTTTTACTGTAAATTTAAAGAGAGACTTACTGCTTTTTCAGTGAACTTGAGTTTCTTAAAAAAAAAAATCTATCACTGAAATTCCTGTACGTAAAGGAAAGTTACTTATGCCAATATAGATGAAATACATTTTGTATTTTACAGATGTGAAGGATATTTTCAAGAAATGTTATTAACTTGTAACATGAGATAAACTGGCACTGTTCATGTTTCCCTGTTTATATTATACAGTGATTTCCTAGTTTGAAGAAGTAATTTAGAATGATAGTACTGTGATCAGCTGCATACAGCTTGTAAGTCTGAATTGTACAACTTGCTGAGAATTTGTTCCTTTTCATAAATTGGTTCAAATAAACCCTGATAATATTACTCCTTTCAATAGCATAAGATGGTGAATACTGATACATATGAAAGTTAAAGCATGACTGAAGTGCATTTGGAAAGCTGGCCAATAAAATAGTCTGAGATGTCTAAAGAATTTACTGAAGTGATTCATGACTGAGAATTCTGCTTTGGAATGGTTTGACAAGAAAATTATTTAGCAATATGCTTGATTCTTAAGATATACAAATGGCATGTTGATTTTTTTTTCAGTAGAAGTACTGCAGTTGATTTACATTTCTAATAGCAATATTTTTCTGCATTTGAACAAAGAAACTATATGCTGCTATGCATGAACCAGATGGAGTGGCTGGGGTGAGTGCAATTCGAAAGGCAGAGCCATCTCTGAAAGAACAGATCCTTGAACATGAAAGCATTGGTTTGCTGAGGGATGCTACAGCCTGTTATGACAGAGCTATTCAACTGGAACCTGATGAGGTAAAATGCAAGGCAAATTCTTATTTTTCCATTCTGTGAAAAGGCAAAAAATATGAAGGTGGTTTAAAATATTTTATATAAAATATGAACATAAGTGTGCTTTTATATTGATTTCCTTTGAGTTGCTATTAACAGTAATTGGCAAATTGGGGCAAATCTGATCATAGTTATACCCCAGGGAATTATGTGCAGGAAAATTAAAAATTATGCAAAAATACTTGCTCTTATTTTTTTTTTCAAACTACACTACATATAACACTATATGAACCTTTAGAAATATATGCAGGTACTTTGTATGGTTGGCGGGTGGGGGTGAGTTGTGTGTGGGGGGGATTTGTGAAGGTGTGGGCGGTGTGGGTGCGTATGTGGGGTTTTGGGTAGGTGTGGGGTTTGTTGGGGGGATGTAGGTATGGGAGTAATGGGGGGTTGTGAAGGGGTGGGGGGTTGTGGGTAGATGTGGGCCCCTCCGCCACACATTACCCCTCCTTCCCCCCATGATGCACAGCCCCCACCACCAGCAGCAGCAGGCCCACAGGGTGTTCATGGCTGTGGCAGACAGAGCCTCTGGCAGCATGTGCCTCTGGCTGACTCCCAGGGGCTACGTGTCCTTGCATGGAGCCGGCCTGTCCCGCTGGCGCCCACTTCTGAACCAGACCAGGCTGGCTCTGTGCCAGCACATAGGGTTTGCATCACTGCAGGCAGGAGCTGCACACCATTGGCCAGGTGGGCTCTGTGCCTCCATGCGCGGCTTCCCACTGGAGTGGTTGAAGCCCCATGTGGAGGCTCGGGGCCAGCCAGCCTGACCCTTGGACTGGGAGCCACATGCCATCAAGCCAGGCAGCTTCCATGCCTCCACATGTGGCTTCCAGCACTCGACCAGGAAGCTGCATGTGGAGGCAAGCAGGAGCCTACCTGGCCCAGTGGCATGCAACTGCATGCCTCCATGTGCAGCTTTCTGCCTAGCCTGGTGATGCATGGCTCTGCTTCCAGTGCATGCACCATCGGGTCAAGTTTGCCCTTCACATGGGGCTTCCAGCACTCCAGTGGGGAGTCATGTGCCATTGGGCCACAGAGTCATGTGCCATGGGCCAGGCGGGCTCCTGCTTGCCTCTACGTGCAACTTCCTGCTGGAGTACTGGAAGCCCCACGTGGAGGCATGGAACCAGCTGGCCCAGTCTGACGGTGCGCAATCCACATTGTCCCACAAACCCCACACCCACTCCCTGCTCCTGCAGGCAGGAGCTCCCTTCACTCCTTACTCAGCTGTCCAGTCGCACCGCTCTGTGCCTCCACATCATGGGGCCCCCAGCTAGAGTGCCAGGAACCCTGGGGAGGTGGAGGCACAGAGCCTGCCACAGTTAAATTATGCAGTTATCTGCAGTCATGCCTTTTATGCGCAAAGTTGCATGGGCGCTTAATTGCATAATTCCCTAAGGTGTACGTAGTGGGTTCATGCTCTTGATTGTGAACAATGCTGGTTTAAAAGTGAAAGTGGTAATTGGTATATCTATGGACTGATCTCTGCATGTGGATGATCAGATAATTAACAGGTTTTGTTCAGTAAAGATCCAGGATTAGATGGCAGATATGTAGATTGGTGCAGATGTGTGCCAGCAGAAATATTAGGACACCTCAGAATAGTGCTCACTCATTCCGTTTGCCTCACTGCTTAATTTCAACTTTTTCATGAACCTTTTTCATGAATATAGACCAAAACAACAACCTGAAATCAACAGGTGGCAAATTCAAAACTGGTAAGAAGATATGCACCTGTGTATAACTAACTGGAATTCTTTGGCATAAGATATGGAGGCTGATAGCTTAGCTGGTCTTAAGAGTATTGGAAGTTAATAAAGCCAGAGTAAGTATCCAAGATTTTTAGTAGTACTGCTGGGTAAATAGTATTTACCCATGAAACAGCCAGTGTTTTGGAAAGCATATAAAACTTGTAGTTTCAGGGCATAAATTCATTTCTACCTAGTTGTGGGAGGGAGGGGAGTGTTTGGTGGAAACTTTCCCTGAAGATGAGTTGTTCTGGAATTGCTTATTTCAAGCTTTCTTGCATGTTCCTATGAAGCAGCTGACCACTGTTGAAGGCAGGATATAGTAAATCTGGTGCTCTTGTATTCCTAATTCAGTTAGAATCTACTGAAAAAAAACTCCCCAAAACATCATTAGAACAATTTTGAATGAAACTATTCAAAGTCTGTTTTGACTTTTCCTTTTTTTCAAAATTCTTTTGACACAAACGTGTTTTGTCTCTTTTTCTCACTGTTTATATGAATTCATCATTCACACTGTTAAATAGCATTTCTCAGGGTCACATATTTAAAAAATCACTCTGAACCTGATTTTATTTATTTCTGAAATGTTTCAGAAACTGCATGTGTAGTTTGAGGTTCTTGAAGTCAGATGCTCTGTTCAAATTTGTAATTTTTTTTGGTGATTTGATTATTCTTTTAATGAGTAACCTCTAATGATTTATGTCCTTTTCATATCAAACTAAAAGCAAGAAAAATATTCAAGAAAAATTAGAAGTGCAAAAGTACATAAATGTCCTGCAGATTACCAGCCTGGTATTTCTTGATAATATGTGATACCTATTTTGATCATGCCTTCCTATATTTCTAGATAATTCATTATCATGGTGTTGTGAAGTCCATGTTAGGTCTTGGACAATTATCTACTGTAATCACTCAAGTGAACGGAGTGCTTGCCAACAGGTAATAAATTAGTTTACTACAACTAAAACAGTTGTTGAGTAACACAACATTCTTGTACTACAGCTGTATCTAATTATGTACCTGATCATGTGGGAATAATAATGCAGAAGTTATGAGCAGTTTGAGAAAGGAGAACTCTTACATTTTTTAATTTTTAAATAAAATCCCAATTTCAGGACTGCCAGTAATATTAGCATTTCTTATGTGTTTCCTTGCAGTGGAAATGTGTTTCTTTCACTTTTTAAGAAAAAGAATTTTATTTCCTTGCCTTACCACATACATACATATCTATATATACATATTCTGTAGATGGTGACATTAGATTCGAAATCAAGCGCGTGGTTTATCAAGAGGTTATGATTCCTACCTTGTTGTACAGAGCTGAGACATGGACAAAGTACAGAAGACATCTCAAGCCACCGGAGAAGTACCATCAACACTGTCTGTGGAAGATCCTTCAAGACCACTGGGAAGACAGATGCACCAATGATAGCATCCTCTCACAGGCAAACACTACAAACATCAAGGTGATGATTATCCAAAATCAACTTCGTTGGGCCAGCCACATCATTTGGATGTCTGACTCCAGACTCCCGAAACAAGTTTTATTTTCCCAGCTCAGTCAAGGCATATGCTCAAGAGGAGGGCAGAGAAAGTGCTTCAAGGACAACTTGGAAAAAAAAATGCAACATTGAAACCAACTCAGAAAGTGTCTGCTACAAGGATTTTGGTACTTTAAAACCCGGGCAACCTCTGCATAGCGCTCTTAATTGTGTGTGTGTATGTGTATGTATGTGTGTGTATATATGTGTTTTTCTAACAGTATTGCCAATCCAGTGGAACATTTTGACCAGAAAATAAAAGTAGTCTTTTTTTTAATTATAAAATGTTTTCCTACTGTTTGTGGTAAACCCCATTTATAAGATGTCAGTTACAAATTATCCTCTATAATAGTTTTCTTCGCTTGTCTTTTGTCATTCTTCCTGTCATGCTCAAAAAAAAACATATTTCCGCTTACTTTTCTAGCCTTCTAGTAATTGATTTCAGTTAGTTAAGGTGTACTTTCTGTATCTGAGCAAAAAATGTCCCTTAACACCCTTACTTTAACTTTTACCCATAACACCCTTACCAAGATGAAGCAGAGAACAGATGGCAATTGAATGCAGAAAGAATGGCAAGAGTAAGACAAAACTAAACAAATGAGCAAAGAGGACATCGTGGAAGAGATGCAATGGAAAGGCAAAGGGTTCGCAGAGACAATAGAAGACAGGCTGAAAGACTAAGCAACAGTAGATTCACTGAAGATGAGATTGTGGAACATAATTGTGGATTGATAAACGTGGTGTGCCAATTTTGTAACTCTTTAAAATTCCAAGCTGGAAGACTGTGCCAGATGGCCAATTCTGGAGTTGCTCTTATAAGGGTAAAGTGATTCTGCTTCAAAGCAGTCCATTTCCAGAGTATTAGCAGGATTTGATGATGAATCAGAACAACAAGCATTCCCAGAACTTTAGAACAAACATTCAGTCGTACAACAGTTCATTGTCTGTTGAGCAAAGATCGCTGTGACGAGATGTATGCTTCACAGACCACGTGGAGGATTGAATCCAAATGCACCGTGCATGGAAAATCATCAGTCTGAAGAAGTATCCAAAGGAATTTACAAAGGGGACGCTTAGAAATGAAGAAAACCAGGAAGAACAGCTGAAGTTGGTAATGACACAGTGGATAACAGAAACGTGGTACCCTATAACAAGCAGCCTATTTTTCCACGTCATTTTTGACGGGCTTTTATGGTAGCTATAAATATATATTTTTTATAAATTGACTACCTTTTTTGTTTTACTGAAAAGGTATAATAACTTGCTATAGCATTGGTTTTCAAGTAAGATAAAGATTTTTTTTTGTTTTAAAGACAATTGGTTAATAATAAAATGTAGGACTAATATACTTTGAACAATTAATTATTATGGCTGAAACAATAGCTGTTCTTGGGTTTTTTTAATTGAACTAGGTCTGAATGGACTTCTGAATTGAACACATATAGAGTGGAAGCAGCCTGGAAACTATCTCAGTGGGATTTACTGGAAAATTACTTGGCTTCAGGTAGTAACATTTTTGTGCAATTGTATATAATAATGTTAAAAATAGCTTTAAACAAAGGACATTTATTGTAAGCTTTCTGGTTTGACATTTGGCTGGTCATGATGGGTTTTTTGATCTATCCTCTCTTTTTACAATTTAAAATTTCAAGAGACCTTAAGGCCAAACTCCTTCAGGTTTTTCTGAAATTTCCACTCTGCAGGATTCTGAAAGCTTATTTGCCAGGATTTCCTCAAGCTTCTTGGTGAGGGGGATACAATATTAATGTTGTATCCCTTTAGTTGTCATAAAGTCTTTTGAAAGACATTTTAAATAATTCTGGTGAAAGCTTGTATGGTCTGGACTCTGCATTAAACACGTTTCTGGTGTTGTGGTATTGGCAGGTTATGGTGTATTGTCTGAGTTTGATGTATCATTCTGGATTGCCTTTTTGATTTTTGTAGATGTAAAGTCTACTACCTGGAGTGTCAGACTAGGACAGTTGTTGTTATCAGCAAAAAAGAAAAATGCAACTGCTTTTTGCGAGACACTAAAAGTTGTTCGAGCAGAGCAGATTGTCCCCCTCTCAGCAGCAAGCTTTGAAAGAGGGTCCTATCAACGAGGATATGAACATATTATCAGGTATTTGGGGACATCTACATACTGCTTTGTTGTGTTCAAGGGCTAAAGAATGTACTTTAAAATGTATGTACCAATCATGTAAACAACAGACTCTTCCTTTTCAATAATAAATGGTGCTAACTAGTGGACCCAAATTTTTTTCACCTCTCAGCCACCCAAGTCATACTCAAGTGTCTAAGAGCATTTCTCTTCCACCCTTCTCAAACCTTAGGATAACTATTAACACAAAAGGTTGGGGAGGTCCTTCTTCCTCTTGCCACTTTTTCCAACTTAGTCTTAAGGCAAGTAAGTTGCAAGTAAGTTACCACAGTTGATCTGTTAATGTTTTTTCAGGGATTTAAACAGGGAGGAATAGGAGGTGCCTTAGGACTAGGGACAGAAATTATATGTAAACCTGTATACGTGATCAAAAACTGGTTCAAATCTGTAACACAAGAGGAGTTCAGTGCACATAAACCTCTTTCAAAATGTCTGAAACCAGTTTAAGATAAATCTGGATGGATGTAGTATCAGACTTAACTGATTTAGGTAAGTCAATTTATTGAACTGCTGTCCCAGATCCCCTCCAGATGCAAATTAACTCACAGTTCCCCAGCATCCTAGGATGCTGTGCACCTCCCCTGCAATCCCTACTTTCAGGATGGGCAGGTTAGCCTTGGCCCAAGGTATCTGCTCCTGCTGAGCAGGGAGGCATGCTGTAGCACCCCCTGGCCACTGCAGGCATGTGGCTGCATTTCCAGAATCAAAAGCAAATGTCTGTTCAGTTGCTTATTGGTTTAATCTACACAGCATAGACTAACCTGCGAAGATTGAATCACTTCAGCCTCAGGCTTTTTGACTGTCTGTACTTAGCCTAGAAATGAAATAGGATTTTGGCCTTGGTTTCGTTTTCTCACCTTTTCTGCCAAATGAAAACTTCCCTGATCAACAGGGATTTTTACATTTTTCTCCTGCAGTGAAAATAGCCACAAATCTTTGCTGTAACTGTTGCCCTTGAAATAAAAAATCAGTCACTGAATTCATATGAATGTGTTACTAAATTAGAACCGAGGACCAAAATCTGTTTTAAAACACCACAGCTAAAACACAGATTCAGTCTATTGTCATAACACCTGACTTTAATGAGATTATATTTTTTTAACACTGCTGATACTGAAAACAAAATTTGGCTTTTCACTTCTAGCTTCAATACCAGTTAATAATCCGACTTTAAAGGCAATTTAATGCAGATCAAAAAGCTGTACAAGTAATAGTGCATGAAGAGAGGTTTTATAGCTCCTTTGCATATTAGATGCATTTTCATTCAGTACATCTTTATTTTCGGGCAAAAATATATGTCTGAACTTTCTTACCAGCTCTACTTTTGTGGTACTCATTTATTTTTCTAAAGTTATGTTTTATGCTTATACAGCAAGGTGTAGTCGAAACAATTCAAGTTACCTGTTTCCAAATGCCTCCCTCTGATCACTGTTCTCATACCAACCATAAGCTCTCCACATTTAGAGTGCTCATTAAAGAGAAATGAGAAGCATTTAAAGTTTTCAGCCTTGCATTTTCAGCCACAACAATGCATAGTACCACACCTAACATTTCTAAAACAATTTTCTTTTAGCAAATTATGAAATAATAGAGCAACACTGCGTGTTATGCTAACTCCACTATGACATCTTCAAAAACAGTAAAAACTTTTGAAAAAATACTGCTGAAAGAAAGCAGCTTTAATTGTTTTAGAAACAGTGGACTCCTTGGTTGTGTCAGTAAGAACTTTACTGAAGTAGGAGTCCAGTATTGACCCCCTCCTCACTGAAAATTTGTTTTTCTGTGGACTCAGTTAATCAAATATTCAAAGAGGAGATGGTGAGAGAAGAATCATTTTGCTAACATATACATCCTTGTATGTTATCTGGAGGAAGCTATGTTACTTGGGATTGTTTGCCTAGTCAACTGTGACAACGAAATAACAGATTCTACATTTAACTTTTTTATAACTGAACAAAGCAAGAAATTTCTAATACTTTCCTCTGTTTTATCATCACAGGTTACATATGCTGTGTGAACTGGAGCACTGTATTGGGCCATTATTTCAGCAGTCAGATGGTGACCATGGTAAAGATTCTCTGAACTGGTGTGCTCGTATAGAAATGACGCAGAACTCCTTCAGAGCAAAAGAGCCCATCTTAGCACTTAGAAGGGCTTTGCTTAGCCTCATTAAAAGGTGAAACCATGATTGTTTTTCCACTTTTCATATTGTATATCAATCTGATATTTCTCTTAGAATAGTATTCTTCTGCATATTAATGAACTATGGCTAAGAATCTTGAAATTTACATGGTAAACAAAACCAGCCTTATTTATTTATACTGAAAATACAGGAAGAAGATGGTGTTTGTCAAGTTAGAAAGGATGAGATTAGTAGGGAGAAAAGTGATTTTTTTAACCTAAGTGGATAAAAGCCATAAATAGTACAAATTTTAAATGCAGAGGTTCTCTCTAAACAAAGCATCTCTTAAGCTGTCTGTGTTTTCATTTTAATATATCATTATGCATGTTTGAGATTTTAATGACATTACTCATGAAACTTCTGGGGTTTTGGAAAAACATCATTGCAGGCAAGATTACAGTGAATTGGTTGGAGAATGCTGGCTCCAGAGTGCTAGGGTTGCAAGAAAAGCTGGTCATCACCAAACTGCATACAATGCTCTTCTGAATGCTGGGGAGTCCACACTGTCAGAACTGTATATAGAAAGAGCAAAGTGGCTGTGGTCCAAGGTAAGCAAAAAGGAAATTAACATTTGTTATTGCCTGAACAGCATGACCGCACCTCATTTATGAATGTTGATTTTTATTAGTAATAATTGTAAACTGTTTTATTTATTTATTAGACTTAGATGCTGCCTTCTCTGAAAAAAGCTCACTTGAAATAAGATAAATGATAAAGCAGATAAAATGTCAAAATAAAACAGTAAATAATGAAACAAACTCCTTAATAAGGAGATCTGATTGCACTTTTAGAAGATATCTGGGCTCAGGCTCAGGCCCACCTCAGCAGGGAGGGAGTTCCAAATCAGGAGCAGCTGCTGAGAGTGACCTTCCATACATTTTCTCTAAACAAACTTGGTGCATAGATTAGACTTGCAGGAGTACCATCATGATTTAGGGCTTGTATAGGAGCATAATGGAGGGAGTTAATCCCTTTATTATGGAGGGCCCAAGCCATTTAAAGCTTATAGATCAAAACTAGAACCTTGATTGTGCTCAGATTGTTACAGGTTTTTTTCGCTAAATAAATATGTATACTGAACAATACTTTCTGTCTCTTAGGGTGAGGTTCACCAGGCACTCATTGTTCTTCAGAAGGGTGTTGAATTATGTTTTCCTGAGAATAAAACACCATCTGATACCAAAAGTCAGCTGATCCATGGCCGGGCAATGCTGTTGGTTGGCAGATTCATGGAAGAAACAGCCAACTTTGAAAGCAATGCTGTTATGAAAAAGTATAAGGTGAGTACAATACTATGAGTAGTAAAGGGGCAACAGGTTTCAGTAACAGTCAAGGTTCAACATTGGGATGAAAAGATAAGATTCTTATCATGGTTAGTGCTGTATGAAGGTGTAGTAATAAAGTGATCTTTATCCTGAAGAGTTTGCAGTCTGGGTTAGTATTAATTTAACTTCTTGATATATCGGCTTGGGATCTCCTATTAACAAGAGCCAAACCGTAACTCAGGGGTGGGCAGTTATTTGGGCTGGAGGGCAACTTAGGGAGTTTGGTGAGCTGTTGTGGGCCAGGTCAACATTTCTCCACCCCCTAACCCACCCACAACATCTCATGAAAACTTCCTAAGTGGCACCCATGGGCACAGCACACTCAAATGGGATGGGGCTGCAGGTAGGTGGGATAGAGGCCAGGACTGGGACTAGGATCGGGATTGCAGAGTAGTGACAGCATGGCATCAGGGCCTGGGGCAGAGTCACAAAACACTCCCCACGTGACAGATTGTGACTGGCCCAACCCAGGAAGGGAGCAAAGCTTATGCCTGTGACCTGACCCTCACTCAGGCAGACCCAGTACAATGTGGCTGTGTGGTGGTGCAGCGTGGCCTAATCTAGTCATGATCCATTGGGTACTTCTGGGTCAGGTCAGACATAATCCGTCATGTGGGGAGTGGATCACAGCTCTGTCCTGGGCCCTAGACCCCAGGCCTGCACTGTCACCACCCTGCAATCCTAGCCCTGGGCCCACCTGCTTGTCCCACTCCCAGATGCCACTTTCCTCCCGCTCATCCCATCCACCCAGCTGAGTGCTCCCTGCCCACAGAAGTCCCAGGCCAGTCTCTGTGGAGACCCTACCTGCTCTATATGGCACCCTTGGCGGTAGGTGCAGGACAGACAGGCTGGGGTGCCCAGGCAGCAGGGCTGGGTCCAGTGACAGCAACACTAGTAGCAGCAGCAGCTGGAAGGAGCAACTGGTGCCAGGAAGTAGAGTCGGACTGTCTAGCTGCCCCAGATCCGCTGTGCACCTAGGGGCACTGGAACCAACTGCATGTGCCAGGCCTGGGCTGAGGGACCAGAGCTGCATTTTGCCCACCCCTGTGCTAACTGGATAATTCCAGTAAAGCCAGTGCAAGTATGTAGGTAATAAGTTTGTACGTAACTAAAAAATGTAGAGGTTAGAATTTTGTTACTGGTAAGTAAGGTGGTGATTAATGCTGTAACTTCTCCACATTTCTTTATCTCCTATTGGAAGGGCCTGAATATGATCGTGACCCATGCATTTAAGACCTCTACTTCCAGGGTTGCCTCCTGCCTGAGTGGCCTGGACAAGAGGTCAACCCCATTTATGTCAGTGGGAGAAGAGTCCGATAAAATCTGTTTCTGGGCTATATGTAGGCTGCTGACCTCTGCTATAAGGGTTTATTTGAAACATATTATATAAAGAAACAAGAGAAGCAAAAAAGAATGCTGACAATTTAGGTGCTAAAAGCAGGGGGTGGTACCAGAAACCTTTCTGAAGATCTTTTTAAGTTTTATTGAAATAATTATAATTTCCTCAGTGGAAAAATTCCTGGGGAATTTCTATATAGGTGCCATCCAGCTTGAGAGGTGTTACAAAACTAGGCACAAGGAATATGGTACCTCACTTCCTTGTACCTTGTACATTAGTTTACAAAGATTTCTGTACAAATCTATGCGAAGTAGATGTAAAGCACAGGTATATGGATGTAGTACTCTTTTATATCCAGAGGTAAATAATGCAGGCTATTGAATAAGAATGATCTTTCTCTTTTTTTTAATTCTATTAGAAAAAGTAATTTTTATTTTCACTTTTATTGCAGGATGTTACAGTTTTTTTGCCTGAGTGGGAGGATGGACACTTCTATCTTGCTAAGTACTATGATAAACTGATGCCTATGGTAACTGACAACAAGATGGAAAAGCAAGGAGATCTGATTAGATATATAGTCCATCACTTTGGAAGGTGCAATGATAATGTGTTTTTCCTTGGTTTTCTTAGAAAGGCTATATTGGTGAAATAATCAAAACAAAAAGCACAAATTATTTTGTTTTTATTTGTCTGACTTCAAATTTTCTACCATAATTAAAAAAAATCCCCATGAATGTATAGTTAATGCAGTTTATTCTAGCTTTGTGTGTTGTATTCAGTTTTTGTTTTGTTATTTAAAGAGCAGTAAAGGAAATGATTGCTTACCTATATTTAAAATGATCTCAAAGTGGTTGTCTCAAGCATGAAGTGCAACAAGGACAGCAATTACTAAATTAATTGATACAGATAATTTGTGCAGGAGGTAGTAGGAGTTTGATGTTAGAGCAGGGGACGCATCACAAATGCCTAAAATAGACTATACAGCAAATATCTAAATAGCTCACTTAAGGATTTAAAATTTGTTGCATTTCCTTTGCTATAAATGAACTGTATCTTAATTACAAGCGTGGTTATGTAATTGCAGATCTCTACAGTATGGAAACCAGTTCATCTATCAATCAATGCCAAGAATGTTATCTTTGTGGCTTGACTTTGGAGCAAAAGGTTATGAATGTGAAAAAGGTAAAACGTTTTTTACAGTACAGTTTTTCTGTTATGTTAAGTCTTTCTAAGACAGTGTAGAAAGTGCTGTAATATTGATATACAAGTACTTTTGTTTGGATTTGCAGGTCAGGTATTTTGAAATGAAACCAGAATAGCTCACCTCACTGTTACAATAAAAAACACAGGGGGGTGGGTTGCAGTTGGGGCAGTGAGAAGTGGAGCAGACTGTCAGTGAGCGCTCTCCTATCTGTTCTGTATCCAGTATTGTAACTGAGAAGGGGTGATGAGCAGCAGTGTAGTTGTATATCTGTTGGCAGCTGAAATGTTCCCTTTCTGAAGCTCTTCAAATGTTGCATCTCTCTCCACCTTGGAATATTAACAAATATGTACAATTTTGTGGGTTTGTTTTATATATACATACTAGCAAATTTCCTGTCAAGAATGATGGGGAGAGGTGGGCGGGGATGGAGTGCCACCACTCACCACCCTGTGCCACTGCCTCCCAGGAACAGAGTGGGTGCCACCAAGCCACATCCAGCCCCACACTGCCACCACCTCCCCCCTGCCATTTGCATGCAGCCACCACCACCCACCTCCCTGCACTGCTGCCACTCTGTGTCCGGTGGCGTGAAAGCTTCTCCCCACTGCTCCTAGGAGTTGGCAGCAGCACAGGGTGGTGGCACTCCATCCCCACCTGTCATTCTTGACAGGCATTCTTGATGCAGCACTGGCTGGAGCCACGCCTCCCAAGAGCATTAGGGACAGACAGACACACAGACAGATGGACTAAGCCCTTTATATATAGATATAGATATATATCCCATTAAAAAAGATCTCTCTCTCTCGATATATCTCACAGTACATTTGTATAGTCTGATTTCTCTGCATTTTGTTTTCCAGCTGGTCGTTCTGAACGTGTACAGATGAGAAATGATTTAGCTAAAATAAATAAAGTGATTACAGAACATACAAACTATTTGGCTCCTTATCAGTTCTTAACAGCTTTCTCCCAATTAATCTCTCGAATCTGCCACTCTCACGATGAAGTCTTTGTTGTTCTGATGGCGATTGTTGCCAAAGTATTTCTAGCCTACCCACAGCAAGCCATGTGGATGATAACTGCTGTTTCCAAGGTAATTGGATAAGTACAGCTACATTTTTTATAAAGCTCATACAAAATCTTTCCACCAGAAAAGAAATTTGAATAACCTTGTATCATATGTTTAAATAAAGTATTGAATCTGTAGCTGTTGCAATATCGTAATGTAGAACAGAATATTTTGCTGACACCACACCTCCCACCTGCTCAGGAGAATAGAGGTTTAGAAGCGATAGCTTGAAGGTTTGGAATTCAGAGAGTTCAAAATCTTTTTCTGACACTTAACCTGTTTTGTTTCTTTTGCAGTTTTAGAATATGGTATAAAATTTGAAGCCTGTAAATGCTTATGAAATCATACATGAAATTTAGTATTAAATTCTTTCTATTTCTGAATTTTGTTAGATATTTTAATTTCATTTAATCCTACAACAGACACAATTATTAAACAGTGACTAAGTTTAAGTAATTTTTAATTTTGTTCTCTTTTTCCAGTCCTCTTACCCAATGCGTGTGAACAGATGCAAAGAAATCCTAAACAAAGCTATTCATATGAAGGCATCTTTAGGAAAGTTTATTGGAGATGCAACACGCCTTACAGATAAACTCCTAGAGCTATGCAACAAACCGGTACATGTCCAAAAAAAGCACCAGATCACATATATTTTAAATTTCATACAAAACTGTTTCTGTAGCTGCATCACTTACTTAATTAGAATAATGTCTATGTAATTCTTTCTTTTATAATGGGATATTTTGTAAAACATATTCTAAAATGTATCTTTGAAACAAAAAATATTTTAGACAATAGGAAATAAAAATGCCAGAGGTAAAGCTTGAAAAGAAAACTGAAATAACTTTTGTAAAACTTTCATGAGAGTTTTTGCCAGTAGAATTTTTATAGAATTCTTTTCTAATAAGCATATTTATATAATTTTCAAAACAACCTTTTTATAATTAGCAATTTTTAGTTTGCATATTTTTCATTACTTATGTTCAGTGATATTTAGATTTTTTTTCCAATAATTTTACAAGTCTTTAAAAAGCAGGGTGACCATGGTATTAATGGTAAACCACTGATCTACCATATTTACTCAAATTCAAGATGAGATTTTTGTCTCCCATTTAACATGGGGAAAACAGCCCTTCATTTTGGATTCAAGTACAAGCCTGTGAAGAAGCCAGGTGGCTGCTGCCTACCCCCTACTGCCTCTGCCCCCTGCGCTCTCTCCCCGCCCAAGCTAGAGCTACCATTACTACCAAGCTGGACAGGGACAAGATCCCTGTCAGAGCTGCAGGATAAGGCAGCATGGGAAGGGAGGGGGACAGAGGTGGTGGAGGGCAAATACCTGGGGGCACAAATAGGGTGGTAGGGCGGGACAGTTGGCAGGGGGGCAAGGTGTGAAGGGGTAGGGGGTAGGCTGCTTGAACCTCCCCCCCAATATTTGTTCTCCCACTGCCTGTCCCCCCATCAGTGCTTTCCCTGCTGCAGCAGTTGAAAGGGTGAATTTAAGATGACCCTCCAATAATTAGATTCTATACATAGAAAATTATGACAAATTTATTATTTTGGGAGTTTGTCTTAAATTCAGAGTCTTGGATTCAGGTAAATATGGTAATTCTCCAGACTAACAATAAGAGTCCTGGCACACACGACATATAAGACAGGATTAAGATGTTAGTTGTGGCTTAAATAGTAACCTGGCCCCAGGGTTTGGAACATAGCATTCCCCTGCCCAATCAGTAGGATCAGGCTGGAGGTAGCACTGGGTCTTAGACCCAGTGCCCTCATCCAATCCCAAGAGACAGGTGGGGAGACCATGGGGAGAGGTCATCCCAGTCAGGGCCAACAATCAGCTGATTGTTAGCCCAATGCACTGGGCATTTGAATTGGCTGTGAGCCATGGTCAGGGCCAACAACCAGCTGATTGTTAGCTTTGAACCTATGCCATGCCAAGGCCATCAATCAACTGAATGTTAGCCTAGCTGGACCCATGTACACTCCTCTTTCAACTTGTAGGGGTGTCTGCGATAGTGATCCCAGGCTCCTCCTGCACTAGCAAGTAGTAATGGCACGACTGGGATCTGATCCTTGATCCCAACAACCATGCCTCCTGCCGTTGCATATGTGGCATGGCAGGAGGTGCAAATGTTGGGATTGAGGATCAGATCTTATACCACCATTAAACGAACATGTGCCAGGGTCTAATTAACTCCATTTAATGAAAATAAGTGAGGGAAGAACTTAAAAATAGATGCTGTAAATGCTAAGATACTGTATTCTAATAGGTCATGTTTTATCACACGCACACATTTTAAAACATGATCTGTTTTCCAGTTTCCTGAAAAATGTTTCAAAATGTGCCAAATTATTTATGTTTTCTTTTAAAGGTTGATGGAAACAGCTCAGCATTAAGCATGAGTATTCATTTCAAATCATTAAAAAAGCTGGTGGAGGAGCAGACATTTAGTGAGATCCTCATTCCCTTGCAATCTGTTATGATACCCACTCTTCCATCGATGGTTGGTACACATTCTAACCACGACCCCTTTCCTGGACGTTGGGCCTACATTGCAGGCTTTGATGATACGGTAAACTTCTGTTCAGCTTGTATTTCAGAGTTTATTTCAATAATTTACAGTAGGCAGTCCATGAGAGGCTGGAGTATGGCCCACCATCTGTGGTTAATATGTGCTCCAGGGGCCGCCTCTCCTTCTGCCATACTGTAGGAGAGGGCCCCGGAGTCTGCACAACACCTGCACAGCCTGTGGAGGTGGGGGGCAGGGTAGGAGTCTGCTGCTGCTAGCACAGCCAGTGGAGGAGGCTGAGGGTTGGGGCCAGGCTGTGCGCCAACACCAGGGCAGGAATCCCAGAGGAGGAAGGGCTGCACCACATGCAGCTCCTGGCTGTGTTGAAGTTGGACAACCCTGATTTAGCAGCTAAGTGTGCTCATCTGCTCAATTTGCCAGACATGGGGAGAGGGGGGAGATGAGTTTTCTTAATCATTGTGTTTTACTACCTGAGTAAAAAAAAAAGAATGTATACTAATTAAAAGTATTATTAAAAAACAGTTTGTTGAATGGCTTTTGGTAGTACAGTCTGAGAAAATGTTGCTTCCATGTGTTCAGATGAGGTTTTGGCTAAAAACAGGTGCATCATTAACATTAACTTCAGCGTTTCCATGATAAACCATAATATTGAAGGTGCTGTTAAAATGTACTCAAGTTGTTTTGAAGAACAACTCTAAGATTACTGATTAATTTAACTTTCCCTTTAGGTGGAAATCCTTGCATCACTTCAAAAGCCAAAAAAAATTTCTTTAAAGGGTTCAGATGGAAAATCCTATATTATGATGTGTAAGCCAAAAGATGACCTAAGAAAAGACTGCCGACTCATGGAATTTAACTCCCTGATTAATAAGGTTTGATGGTTATTTTGGAAATCGTAATATTTGTTCTAGTTTATTAGAAAAATGATTATATAAAAAGTGTTTGACTCAACGTCCTTCCAAGAGAGCTTCATGAGACGAAAAATATATGGGTGTCCAGTTCTGCAAGATGTTGAGTACATGGTGCTGATTTCAGTGGAAGTCAAGAATGCTAATTATTCATAGATTTGAGACTTAATTTGTGAAAACCCTAGGCAATCTATCTTCCTTTTACAGAGGATTTCCTTTCTTGCTAGACATTGATGCGAGAGATTTGCACTAATATATATTCAAACTATTATATTAAGATAAAATGCAAACTTTATATTTTACTTCTCACTGATCTATTTACTATTGGTAATTCTAACATTTTTAATGAGAATAAGGAAGATGGTGGAGGCTCAGGAACATGAGTCCGCTACTTACTTGCAATGTTGCTATTACAAGGTATATTTAGCCAGCGTAGCGCTGACACAATCTACAGTACCTCATTTTGAGGTGAGTTGGGAGGAGCAGCAAGATTTTTTTCTCCTTTTGAAATATCACAAATGTTAAAATTTGGAATTTTAAACTCCTTGATTGTGGTTGGGGGGATAGGTATCAACAAAAAGTTGATATTATAATTTGATATAAGTATTGTGTTGTGGTGTTATTCAGTAATCTTATTTTGTTTTGTAAATAGTTCTTGAGAAAGGATGCGGAGTCACGTAGGAGGGAACTTCATATTCGAACCTATGCAGTTATTCCATTAAATGATGAATGTGGGATAATTGAATGGGTAAACAACACAGCTGGTTTAAGAAGTATCCTGATCAAACTGTACAAGGAAAAGGGTAAGGAAACATTTTCATAAAAATCCATTTGAAATGAATACATGGGAGGAAAAAATAAGATGGGAAGATAGAAGTAAAAGCACAAGTGTCTCTCTTAGAAAATCTTTCTGATTTTATAAATTTTAGGCAAAAATGAACTCCATGATGCATTCAGTTTCTTAAGACTGAACCGGACTTTTCTGTCTCTTATGAGACCTCAGGTTTCATAGCTGACTTATCCTGTTTGGTTGGTTGTCTATTTTATTTCTAAGGGAGACAGACAGATCCTGACCTTAAAGACAAAAGAATGAACTGTAAAAGATGTGAAAACTTAAATGTTCATGGCATAGTTTCTCTCCTAGTTTAGAACAGACAGCAGGCATCCTCCCTTCT